ATATATATTTTAATTAAAACACTACCCTGTTTTTACTGCTGTCTTGACAGGAAGTTGTTTTTAGTTGAAAGTCACGATTATTATTTATTGTAAACCTGTGGAATGCTCCTTAATGTGACTGTCTATCTGGAATTGCACTAAGATTAACTTTTATCAGGGTCAGTGCCTCTCCTCTTAACTTTGTTTGCCCAACTTCCTCCTCTTCTGCAGGAAACGTTTGGAGGCATCAGGCTCTCTGTCGTTTGGTAACGAAGTTTTTAAAGTGTCCTTTCAGTCCAAAGGTTCATATTCGCTGTTTGGATGTCAGTATCACTTTAGCCTTGAGGATGTCGTCAATGTTCCAGAGTTCCTTGTCTACTTCCCTCTTTTGGAACAGTAAGACTTCCTTTTTATTGTTAACATTTCAGTTAGACATTGTAGTGACAGAAATGTTTGTGTTCACATAAAACATAAAGCAAACAAATCCATTTATATAGCACATTTTAACAAATGCAATCAAAAACAAGCAACAAATGCTGACCAAAGAAACAGAAAACATGATTAGGTTAGGTTACTTTATTTATACCCGTAGGTAAATTTGTCTTGCAGTCAGATCAAATGACATCCTTGACACATTCACAAAATACAAGAATACAACAACATATAACATAACACCTGACACCTACACCGAACGTAATAAAAGTACTCAGGGCTCCACCAACAAAAAAAATAAAAATAAAAAAGATAATTGGACCATTACAATCAAATAAAACACCAGCAATGTCAGATAAAACAGCACAAGTGAGAAAAGAAATTTAATAAAGGCATGAAATATCTGAATAAAAGGCACCTGGACATAGTTTTAGGTAGACGTTTCACCTCTCATCCAAGAGGCTTCATCGGTTCTGCCTGACTGGTGGTGAGCAGGAGGTGTTTATCCCACTGGGTGGTGTTTCAGTCCTTCGACGGCCAACAGTGTTCTCTGACGACTGAGTCTTTAGGGTCTGGTATCGGCGAGAGTCGTTACCTGTCTTTGAACCCTCATGTGGACCGAGGCCTATTGTCATGGTGTGGATTGGGGTGGAATTGTTTGGGTAGAGATTTCAAAACAGAGTTGTAGATAAATGAGAAGTTGTCTGAGTCCACCATGTGTCCTGTCTGAGGGGTGTTGAACACCCCTCTCTAAATAGGGGAGGTGGACTCAGACACAACTTATCATCCATCTACTAGGTTTCATATGACAAATGATATGTGTTAAAGAGAAGAGAGGAATTGTTCAAACTTGATGAGAGCTGAGGAACATGAACCTTTCTCTGATGGGTCACAGGAGGTGGGTGAAATCTGGAATTGTCAATTTTGCTATAAAAAAAATGTGAGGAATTCTTTGCAGGTGTCTGGTGTTGCTTTTATGCCTTTTGTTACTGTAGGGTTCTGTACTGCACTGTATTTCTTGTAGTATACAATGTGTTGAGTCTTTGAGATTTACTGTTTGTGAATGATATCAGAAAAGGAGGGGGAGCTGTAATGAGAAGACAGGTGAAGGTAGGGAACAGAACAATGCACTGGCATTGTGTCCTGTCAGAATGGATTTGAGAAGGAAGGGAGGGAGGCGGATAAAATGATGGACCTGTGATCAGAAAAAGTGATATTGTTTATGTGGACATCATTTAGTGCCAGGATATGACCATGTGTAGGACCAGTGCCTGACTGGGAAAGTTTGAATTAATTATTTAGATATTAAAAAAGCCCCTGGGTTTGAGGGACAGCACATTAAAGTCGCCTAAAATGGAAAGGTTATCAGATTTAGAAGAAATAAAAGACAACAGGTTTGAGATTTCATTAATATAAACCTTGTTGAAATTAGGGGATGTGTAAATACGCGCACAAAGCATCAGAACCGACAGTTCAGTGTTAACACAGCAGTGATCTGAAACATGAATATTCATCAGTGAGCATAGAATGGAAAAAGATCACCATTCAAAACAACAGCAGACATTTAATAGGTGAAGTGAGGTGCAAAATGTTTTCCATGTGAATTGAAGATAAGTCAGAAAAAAACAGCATTGAGGCAGTGTGGTTGTACTTTTGGAAATGAGATCAAGCCTCATTTGTTATTGTTGTTTATACAGGTATACTGGCAAGTGTAGAGGGAGTGATATTTGTCCTTTCGAGGATTTACTGTTTGATATGGAACCAACAATATAAAATGACAGGCTTGGGTTGGGAGGACATCATTTAGTAGTGCACACCTCCATTTTTGTTGCAGTGCAGGCTATGAAACGCATTTGCTTTGAGCCTACGAGATCCCCACAGATGAGGGTGTAAACCGTCTTTTTAAATAACTATTTTCTTGGCCAGAAGAGATGAAAGTGTCCACAGAGTTCAGGTGATAGCTTTAAAATTCTGTTGATAACCAGGTGTTTAAACTCAGCTTTTGGGAGAATCTCCCCATGCCCCGGTTGATTGGGATGAGTGGTAAGAATAGTTGAAAGTATATCTGTAAGAAGCAGCAGGTTATTGCTAATTGCTACTTTATTTCTGATGCTGGAGTCACCTAAGGAGAAGGCACCTGTGCAGCAGAAGCCCATTTCCCAGCATTCTTGTCAGGTGTACGCTTGGATGGGGGGGAGGGGTTGAGGAAGAACTGTATTACCAGCCTGCTTGGTTGGAGAGCTCCGTGGCATCATCTCTGGTGGGTAGTCAGAGTGCTCCAGAGGTGAAGAGGTGGAGCTGTCAAGATCTTCCAGGACAGAAAACATGTTGCTCAGCTGTGGCCTTGGGATATATGGATGGGGAGAGTGCTTGTCTCAGCTTCTATTCAGCTCCAGGGTCCAGTGATCTGCAGACAAGGAAGTTGAACAGGGCTGTTATGCTCTGTTGCTGCGTTGACCAGGCACTGGTGCAACAGCACTCAGAATACAACTACTGTAAAGATGTTATTGCACACTAATGTAAAGCTGCTGTATTAACTCTGTCACTACACTGTAAAAGTACTTTATTGACTCTGCTCTGAATCTGATGTGACTCTGCTTGTTTCTTTGTTTGTGTCAGCATGGCGAAACATTACAACATGCGTCTGGTGCTGAAGCAGAGGTTTTCTGAGTACTTTATGGAGAAAGTGAAGAAGGAGCATCATCGCAGCCTTATGATGAAGATGATGGCTCTGGAGGTAAAACTGAGTTATCAGTCAATAAAATGGCAGGTTGTATGTAGGAATGTGCAGTTCATTTGACATAAACCAATAGCAACATGTAGTTTATATGTATTTAACATGTGACCGTGTAGTTGCAAGGTAGTGTACATGCAGTGATCATGTACTGTTGTTTTCAGCCTTTTCCCTGTGAGGAGGGAGGACAACAAGCTACAGACAGTAGAAGCGAGTACTGCCATGCTAAAGAGCACTGTGGCGGAACTGGGATTAAGCTGCCACTGGTAAGTGTGCTGACAGTACACTAGGTCAGCCCGGTTCACTACTGTTTGGCCTAACAGCATTCTCCTTTGGTTTGCAGGGCACTCTAAGCAGATCTGAGTGGGAAGCAGCCAGTAAGTAACTTCTCTGTTTGTCATACTGTATGTGTGTCTTGGTTCAAATCTGTCACACAGGTGTTTTAGGAAAGATCCACAGTATGTTAATGTGCTCCTGGTGTCCTTGCCATTTCTTTATGTGGAAGATGAGCAGGTATGCTTATCATTAATAGTAATAAATGAATCCACTACACATGGCCCACATTTTAACAAGAGTGGGCTGCTTTTGGTTCACGCAAAATGCTTTAATGGTAAACTGATTACAATAAATTCAGAGTGACTGAGATGTATTGAAAATGACCTGTCTGTCTAACCTACTCACTGAATATGACCCTCATGATAATACTACACTAATGTACAGCATATTTTTGGTCTTTACTTAATCTGAAAAAAACGTAGAAAAAAAAAAATCAGCTGGACTTGGTTTTAGGTCAAACATGTTTCACCTCTCATCCAAGAGGCTTCATCAGTTCGTTTTTTTTTTTTTTTTTTTCCATCTTACTATGACCTGGAATACATGAGAATCTGCACGGACACATCTTTACTTAATATTTGAAAGTTATTCCAAGGTTTTCTAGTTCTAGTGTTAGTCATGTGACCACAGCCTGTTGTTCACAGTTCACTCGCCATAAGTTCAGTTTTTGCTCTGGCTGTAAACAAGTTTCTCTGCACGTGTCACTGCTCCATCTCATATTCAGTGCTTCTTACATGGCGCTGGCGATGTCGCTTCTACTTAACAACTTGGCCTATTTCACATGAACATGCTCGTAGCCTGATAGGAAAACCCGGTTTTAACAGAGTCACTTCATCACTGGCTATGTTGTACAGTTATCCAGGACGGCCAATGTTGGGCTCAGTGAAGCCAGATAAGAGATAGCCAGAATAAGCTGGGCTCGCTTTGCTGTACAGGCCTGTGGATAAACAAACTTTGCTTAATTACAACCAACTGAGTATAATAAATTAAAAATGTCACCTGTCCTCTGTTCTGTCCAGGTATCTACCTGGTATTTGTCTTTCAGAAAATGTCCTGATGCTGACAAGAAACTCATCTTTTGCTTGTGAAGTCACCTACTGCTCCTCAGCTCATGTTTTCCATCTATTGTTTATGTAATGTTTTTTGACCAGTTTTTGATAAAATGTAAAGTGTTGGATTTCTTTTGGAAAAGAATGAAACCTAATTTAAATTCAGTTTTTGTTGTCTTTTTTTCCCAGAACAAACAGTGGAAAAACAAAGTCCTTAATTGCACTTATGGTAAGGGGAAGGCAGTCTGTGAGTTATGGGGGCAGTATGTACATTTTTATTACTCCTAGTTCTGCCATGTTAAAATTGAGGTCATAAACAGAAAATGATCAGATTACTTCTATTTCAGTTTCAGATGCAGTAAGATGGTTGTAATGTGGGCTGTAAGAGCGAAGTTCTCCTTTTTTTTTACTTCAGTGTATCTGTCTGTAATGTGGTTACCAAGTGTCATTTGGTTGATGGCCAGAACTCACTCGCTTCTGACAGAGTACAGTGCCAAGTGTCGGCATTTGGAGGCCAAGCTGCATTACAAAGGCTCAAGAGCCCCAAAATGTCTCTAAGAGATTGCCACCAATTACCATACTGCTGAAATATTGTTGATCATGACAAATGTTGATATTGCTTATATAATTGCTGAACATTAGTTTCCTTATGGTATAATTGTATCACAGTTTTATTGGGGAAAAATGGTAAATGGCTTTTCTACCAATACTGGACAAATCGCTTTACAGATTCACCCATCCACCCACACAATGCAGGGCGGTGGCTTCACCGGGAGCAGTCTGTGGCTCAGTGTCTTGCCCAAAGACACTTCGACATGTGGACCGGGGAAAACTGGAATCGAATCATCAACCCTGTCATCAGGGGTCGACTTGCTCTAGCCCTGAGCCAGAGCTGGTCCTTATTACCTGCAAAGCTGTCATCCTTCAAAGGGGGGGGAGCCTGATCCTCAGCTTCCAGTACTGTATCTGTATCTGTCACTGGCTACTTGATGAGCTTTTACAGGGCCCTTCTCCTGTTGCCTGGTGAGGCATGTCAGGATTCCACAATAAACATACCCATTAAATAGCTATTCCTTGATTTGCACAGTGTCACCCCTGGATGGTGCTTTGTCTCCAAAAACAGTTTGACGTGAAGTTCTGAGTAGTGATGTACAATGGGGGAAATCACATGACCACTGTGTTTAACCTAACCCCTTGTGGGTCCTGTTGTATTTATCTGGGAGACTGACCTACTGTACGCATGTATGGCAAAGGGCATAGCTGGCACACTGCGGTGGTGTCCTCACCTAAAACTAGGCACGAGGATCTAGCCTGGTCTCTTGATCTGGGGGAGCCACTGTTAGTGGACATGGGAGAAGAGTTTTCCCTCACCTGTATATAGCACGCAGGCCACGAGGTGACTGTGGCTTGCTGCCCTCCATCCCCAGACACACTGAGCATAATACCTCTTGTCATGCACTGGGAGAGGCTGCTTGTTTGTCAGAACTCTCAGCAAAGGTGACTGATAGGATTAAGGTTAGGGGGATGAATCTGTCTCAATAGCCCTCCCCACTTTGTCCGGTGGCTATACAGTTTGGAGTGGAAGACCAAAGGCAAGGCACAGGCTGACATTTGTCACTCAGGCTTTCAAAACTGCAAGCCCAAAGTAGGTAAGTCTAGTTTGGTTTGAGTTAATTAACCTTAGGGAATGAGAAAATACCCTTGACCTCAGTGCCTTAAATATTAATTTCTATAAAATCCTCCCTTCTGGTACATATTCAATTAAATCTCAATAATTGGCACTTGACAGTTCTCCTTTGTGTGTTTGGGGTGAAAACATCTCTTGAACAGGAGGGCATGTGTGTTGGTGTCCTTAAAGTATACTTCAAGTCCAACCTCCTTGTTTGTGCAAAATCTTGAAATTTGTAGGTAATGGTGTCTAAGAAGCTGACTTTCTTCTCATTGATTGTGCATTTATCTTAATGAAAGGGTGATGTGTATTATGATGGTTTGCGAATACTGTGAATTCCTGTTTCAAATAAGTCAAAACTCCCCGAACTATCATCAATAAATCTGAAGTAATGCAATGGGGCTGTGGCAAGGGGTTTTTGCCCTCCAGGCCTCTTTGCCAGCCAACTGATCTGGGACCATGTGAAATTGTCAAGAAAGTTAGTCCATGTTCAAATAACACCCCACAGGGCTTAGTGGATTGGAACATTTGAAAACAAGACTTGAATGTATGAAATATTTGCTTTTGGCTTTCCATCTCTGTAGTAGTGTTTTTAATATTTTCAAGGTTTTGAAACGTGCTTTGCAGACATTAAACACACCTCACTCCAGAAAGAAATGAGGTTTTACTTATAATTTGTCCTGTTTGTCAGGTGAGAACTTTTGATCTGACTGATGTATAAACACTACCTCAACCATCACCATGGACTACTGAAGACACCATCAAGAAATGCCATTTGGTTTAATGATCTAAGATCATATGCTTCCCACCTCCATGCAGGAAAACACCTTAGACTGGATTCACTGGTGAGTATGGTGATAGAAACTTTCTCACTGTCCACAAGTGAGGCTCAAGGTTCATGTGACAACCATTTAATCAATTTAGCTGTATTCACAGTATAAAGGTAAAGGTAAAGGTACACACATGTTCCACTGTGATGTTTCTTAAATCAGTTTCGATTTCAACCCTAATACCTAACCCTCATGACAAATTTAATTGATAAATCAGTGTTCTGAGATGGTGGGATGACGATGAGTGTGCAGCAGAGGGAGACAGAGCTGTAATGGTCCAGCTCTCCACTGAGGGATGCTGGGAAGAGGAGGAGGAGGCGATAACGCTAGCAGTGGCTGTAGAGATGCTAACAGCACAGACACCGACAGGAGCTGCCAGCTAACACAGACAGACAGGCAGAGAGAGAGAGGTGGGGGCAGGCTAATGCTAACAGCAGCACACACTGTGATCAGTAATACACAGAGTGTGCTGCAGTGAGGCTTGCTGCTGTTAGCATGTTGTGGAGAGGAGGCTGACTGACACACACACACACACACACACACACACACACACACACACAATGCAGTGTCGAAGGCCTCCTATTGGATGGTGAGTGATTTATCTCTTCAAGTGTTAGGCCTGATGTGTATGTACAAATGTATACAGTGATGATGTTGCCATGGAAAAAATCATGTATTCATACTGTGCAGTGTGTCTGTGGATTGCCGTGGCAGCATCGGTTCACATGTCAGAGAATCACTTTTCCTGAATCAAACACGCACCATCAGTTTCAAGTGAATTAGGAGGACTGTTCAGACTGCAGTATACAAGTACTACAAATACCAACACTGCTGCTACCACTACTACTGTACTGCAACTACTTCAGCTTGTTCTGAAACTGCTACTTCTACTGATGTTGTTGATAAAGGAACAGTTTGAACATAAATTGATTCATTTTTCTGAGCTCATACATTATGTATGAATTCAAAGTAAAATCTCTGACCAGCTGGCAGAAACTGATCAGTTTTGGGGCCCACTCTTCATGTTTGGTAACGTAGCAACAGTCAACATGAGCTTATTTTAACCCCAACTACCATGTTTCTGTAACCTTTACCAGGAAGTTTTAACTTAAACAAATTTGAACCATACAGATCACTGATCATGTTCTCCACAGGTGTTTACAATATGTAATGTGTCCCTGTGATTGTCCACAATAAATCCAATGTTGATTTACTCTGTACACAGATCTACTACCTGTCTGTTTGTCCTGAAGAGGGATCCTTCCCTTGTTGTTTTTCCTGAGGCTTCTTCCATTTTGCCCCCTTTAAAGGGTTTTTGGGGAGTTTATCCTGATCTGACTCGGGTGTCACATGCTGTGCAGATTGGGTTGTAGAAATAAAATCTGACTTGACAGGTGTCTCAGCAGAAAAACACTGACTGGCTGTTTTGGTAGTGATGTAATACTGACTGTGTGTGTTCATGGTTGTGTATCTGTGTGTTTGCAATTGTATCTGTGTACAGATGCAGATGTAGTCGATCTTCAAATTGACAGACAGCTCACCAGGGGGCGAAGCCTGCAGGTGAAGGTGTTGGTGATGTCAAAACGAGGAACTGGGGGTCAGGGAAAGGGGGAGCGACCAGATATCATGGCAGCCCTTCAAGCAGCCAATGAGGAGCTTAGAGCCAAACTGACCGACATCCAGATAGAGCTACAACAGGAAAAGAACAAGGTATGGAGTACAAAACCCAAAATAAAACTGAGATTACCATGAATACAGTACAACCACTGTGGTGCTGCCCTCAGGTGAGTCGTCTGGAGAGAGAGAAGAGTCAAGAACTGAAGGCAGAGCATCACAGGGCAGCAGTCACCATGACTGAACTGAAGACTAAACTCCATGAGGAGAAGCAGAAGGAGCTAGCTGTTACCAGGGAGACATTACTGCGGCAACACGAGATGGAGCTGATGAGAGTCATCAAAATCAAAGATGGAGAGATTCAACGTCTGAACGGATTGGTGCTAACTCTGAGAGATGGATCCACTGACAAGGTGATCACCTGATCCACACCTATCTGCCTGCACATCTCCCTGCTTTATCCTTCCATCTTTTTTTATATCCATCAATCCATTTTCTGCAGTTTCAGGTCCATATTGGTAGCAGGTAAAGTACACTGAACAAAATTATAAACGCAACACTTATTTGTTTGCCCCCATTTTTCATGAGCTGAACTCAAAGATCTACAACTTGTTTTATGTACACAAAAGGCCTATTTCTCTCAAATATTGT